AAATTTGAGTCTAGGATTACACCTAGCACCCTGGCATAAGGGGAGGGACTGATGGCTGTGTTATATATGTCTATATGTCAGTTTTGAATTTTCCCAGAGTCCCACTTTAATTTAAAAATCACTTCTTTTTTAGAAAATGGTGTCTCAGCTACAACCTCTACAATAGCTCCCCAATACATAAAGTACCTGGAGACATGAAATGCCTAATCTTTAGTACTTGTGATATCATTTCAGTAGGGTTAGATAGCCGTTAGATTTTCAGTAAGGTACTACAGATAACCACACTAATGTAGGAAAACCTGTTGGCTGAATTGGAGTTGCTGGCAGTAGTTTATTGATCCTCTGTCTAATGTAAACATATACGTTTTCACATGATGTATGCAAGCCATATGAGGGTATCATAGACTAGTATATTTGAATCGTTGCCCAGCTTCCACCGTGCAACAAATATGTATGACTTAGAAAAAGATGGGGGTTTCCTAGATGTCTGCGAACATTGGAAATCACCATTGAATTCTTAGAAATACAGTTGTGTTCAAAATAATAGCAGTCAGACATCACTAACCTGATCAATCACTGTTTTTGGTAGAAATGATATTTCTACATGGCAAATAGTTTACTAGCAGGTGTAGTAGAGTAATAGAAATCCAACAGACCCAACAGTCATGACAAGCATGCTGCTGATTCTGTGTAATTGAATCACTAATTGAAAGGGCATGTTCAAAATAATAGCAGTGTGGAGTTCTTTTAGTGAGGTCATTCATTCTTTCAAAAACAGGTAGCAATTATTGCCCTTATTTAAGGAAGGAAGGCAGTAAATATTGTACATGCTGGTTACAGTGCATTTCTCTCTGAAATTCTGTGGAAAATGGGTCGTTCTAGACATTGTTCAGAAGAACAGCGTACCTTAATTAAAAAGTTGATTGGAGAGGGGAAAACATATAAAGAAGTGCAGAAAATGATAGGCTGCTCAGCTAAAATGATCGCAAATGCTTTAAAATGGCAACCAAAACCTGAAAGACGTGGAAGAAAGCGAAAAACTACCATTCGAATGGATAGAAGAATAGCCAAAATGGCAAGGACTCAGCCAACAATCAGCTCCAGGGAGATCAAAGAAGGTCTAAAGTTATCTGTGAGTACTGTTACAATTAGAAGACGCCTATGTGAAGCCAAGCTATCTGCAAGAAGCCCCCGCAAAGTCCCACTGTTGCAAAAAAAGACATGCTGAAGAGGTTACAATTTGCCAAAGAGCACATTGACTGGCCTAAAGAGAAATGGCGCAACATTTTGTGGACTGATGAAAGTAAGATTGTTCTTTTTGGGTCTAGTGGCCGGAGACAGTTTGTCAGACGACCCCCAAACACTGAATTCAAGCCACAGTACACTGTGAAGACAGTGAAGCATGGTTGTGCAAGCATCATGATATGGGGATGTTTTTTATACTACGGTGTTGGGCCTATTTATCGCATACCAGGGATCATGGATCAGTTTGAATACATCAGAATACTTGAAGAGGTCATGCTGCCTTGAAATGGGTGTTCCAACAAGACAACGACCCCAAACATACCAGTAAACGTGCAACATCTTGGTTCCAGACCAACAAGATTGACGTTATGGAGTGGCCAGCCCAATCCCCGGATCTTAATCCAATAGAAAACTTGTGGGGTGACATAAAAAATGCAGTTTCTGAGGCAAAACCAAGAAATAGAGAAGAACTGTGGAATGTAGTCCAATATCCTGGGCTGGAATACCTGTTCACAGGTGCCAGAAGTTGGTTGACTCCATGCAACACAGATGTACAGCAGTTCTCAGAAACAGTGCTTATACAACTAAATATTAATTAAGTGATTCAAAGGAAAGCAAAATCTTCAAACATTTTTCAGTTTATATAGTGAATGTTTGAGTTTGTAAAGAATACAAACACTGATATTTTTTTTAACAGTCTAATACTCACTTTTCTTCGATTGTTTTAGAGGAACAACACAAAAATTTGATCTATTTTTCTTCATGTTTTGATTTGGAATAGAATGTGTAGTGTTCCCAATGCATTTGCGTGTATGAAAATGAAAGCTATTAGAAGGATTTTGAGCTTTATTCACTTTTTTCAACACACTGCTATTATTTTGAACACAACTGTAGGTTCCCTGGATGCACAGTTGACATCTTTAAGACCTTCACACCCTTTAAAATAGACAATTATTCTTAGCAGGCACTAAACTTTTTGGCAAATTTAATTCCCCTTTAAGTGGTTTTCCTAAACACATGAACGTCTAATAAACTATATTTGCCCCAGACATTTTTATTGGTGACATATATAGAGCGAGAGAGGATAGCATTCTTAGACAGTGCTTAGAGGCTTACACCTGATGTGAGCATGCGAAGCTCAAGCCCACCTTGGAGAGTTTCTCTTTGATTGCTGTCTTGCTACATGTAGACTTTTTACTGAGCAACTGTTATAACAAAAGCAGATGTTTAAAATAAGTTGACAGCTTAGGAATTAGTATCTTTCAGAACCCTGCAGTAATCATTTCCCTTGGGACATCTATGAGCTTCTTCTATGAGCACAGCGTCTTACGTGTTTTTTAACTTTGAAAACTTCTTGAAAATGTATTGTGATTGGGAGAAACCGTTGAATACCTGACATATTAGGACTACAAACTGAATATTATATGAATAGCAATTTCAGTGATTAACATGGTGCAAGAGACATGCATCTGAATAAGTAGTATTAAAGTTATATTAAACCATCATGTGTAACATGCATACAGTGCTGTAACATTCAGTACTGATCATAAGTGCTGTGTGCCTTTCTTTCCAGCGCTGGAGTTGCCTTTCTTTCCCAATTAGAAAGTGCTGTTTCACCTGGTGGTGTTTTCAGATGTCTCCCTCCTCTTTCAGGGTTCCACTGAAGACAACTTTCTGTGCTCCCCACCCACTGTCACTATGCCTCCTCAATTTCCTGCCTTCATCCATAGGGTGTCAACTACTCTCCTGCTCCTCCTTCCTCCATGTGAGTGATTGAAAGCACAACTGGAGCTTGCACAGGCCCCAGTCTAGGCTTGATGTAACATAATCCGGGCCCCGGGAAGTTTGGGAAAGTGGCACTTGGGGACCTGGAGCTGTGGCAGTGAGAAACCAAAATCGTAGATATATTTGCACACAGGAATGAAAAATATTACTGGAGATTGTTTTGCATGCTCTCTTTTATGCCTTAGGGCAGAGGCATCCAAACTTTCCAGATAGAGGGCCACATTGTACAATTTACAAATATTCTTGGGCTGAAAGAAATAAATTAACAAATTAAATGTAAATGAGTTAATACGTTATACTTAGTTTGTTTTATAATCTTCATGCTATGATTTATGAAAAAATTTCAGTAAGCAAAGCAACAAAATTCCGAATAAGTCCCCACTGACATCAGAGCCTCCATCAGAGTAACACCCCCCCAACCTTACGTCAGGTTCCATCTTATATCAGAAGGCCAGATCAAATCTTGCAGTTATTTGGCCTCCTTGTTGTATGGTGTAGTTTAGAGACCCCTGTGTTCAGGTAAAAAATTAGAGTCTTTAGTACTACTTTAACGAAAAATAAGATTTTAGCATTGTTTTGTCTAAACTGACCACATGGCATAACATCAGTTCGTGGTTTCAGTATTTCACCAGCATTTTAACTGTATGACAGTTTATAAACTGGAAGTCTCAAACATGGGGAATGATTGACAAATCTAGGAGCTTTCCTTTTCACAGTATTATATACCTGAGGATGTCTTAATCAGCAACATAAAGCACTCACCCCTCTATAAGCACTTTCTTATATGATAGGCACAGTGTGGCGCCCCATCTCTGGGAGCTCAATTCTGAACGTTATTCCTAATCACTAAGCCACTGAGTCTTCTTATCCTGCATACCAAACTGTCTGAACCTGCTCATAAACTGCTCAATAAAAGGCAGTAATGCTTCTGATTATATAGTATTACTTGCAATTTTTGACCATTTCTTACGTTGTTAAAGTGTATATAAGCCAATTAACTTATCTTATTTGCTCCCTTTTGGTTTGCTAAATATACCATGGAAACTATTGTGTTGTACAGTATCCGTTTGATATGTTCAAATAATACTTGTTGATCATGTCAGAAATTCAGAGTTCTCCTGTGCACCATCTGCGTTGTTTCAAGGAGTCTAACTAGCCATCCTGCTCCTTATCTGGGGCTCTTAAATAATTAGTGTCTGTTGTAGAGATGGGGGGTTAGAAGGATTTGAATAGTTTAGCAAAAGACAACAGGGCAGGGCTGACACCACTTACGCTACAAAAATACTGTGTATTGTCAGCCAACAATGGGCCTTAAAGTGGTTGTAAAGGCTCATGGCTTTTTACCTTCATGCATTCTATACATGAAGGTAAAAATCCTTCTCTGTGTAGCAGCCCCCCTAGTACTCATCTGAGCCCCCTCTTGATCCAGTGATGTGCACTGCAGTCTCGGCTGTCCCGACACTCCCTCTCCTTATTGGTTCGTGATGCCGTCAGTCACAGTGAGCCAATGAAAAGAGCTGTGAGGGCACCCGACAGGAGGGAGGAGCTATGAGCGCTGGCGGGAGAACCGAGACGAGGGGGATCGGGGCTGCTCTGTTCAAAACCATTACATAGAGCAGGTAAGTATACCATGTGTAATTTTAAAAAATAATTAAGCCTTTAGTATCGCTTTAACAGCTGAGTGTGTTTTCTGGCAAATCAACAGGTATTTCTCGTTAAATGATGAAACGCAGGTTAATGTTCATGTACAGTAGGGATGTACTGCATGTGCTTATTTTGCCCTGTTATACTTTAAGAGTTATAATGAATACCTCTGACAGTTGAAAGTGTTGGACAATTTTCCAGCTTGGAATAAACATTTTATTAATTCTATTCATTTAGCAGCTAAATAGAGATGGTGTCTTATGTCTGCAAAAATTGTTATTGCTTAAAGTCCTCCAGTTAACATGAGTTTATATTTGTATTTACAGTGTTCGCCAGTTCTGATCCTGTTCCAGGATTCCAGGAGGACACCCTGCAATTGGCTTTCCTTGACCTCAGACAAGTAAGACAAGTGTCTTTCTTTTTATTTTACACATTTTTATTTCTTCTAACTAGAAGTGTCTGGTTAATCTTACTATTTACAGGTAAGTGTAACTGGGTTGTTCTTAATGACTTTAAAGTGGAGCTCCACCCAAAAAGGGAAGTTCCGCTTTAGAGACTGGTCCCCCGCTCCTCATTAAGGATTGGCACCTTTGGGGAGCGGGCACCTGAAATTCACAGGTACCTGCTTCCACTTCGGCTGCATTCGCCTAGGCGATTGGAAGCGGAAGTTGTCCCCCTCCCTCCCCATAGTCTCCCCATATACATTTAACAGGTCCCAGAAAACTACGGACCATTCATAAAGTGCAGCGCTACTCGTGCATGTGCATGCTGTCACAGCCAGGTGCCCACACTGAATATGCCGGCGTCAGGAACACTGGACGGCCGGGGAAACGGGTTGTGGGGAGGACACTGCAGGATCGGGGGACATGTGAGTGGCTGTTTTTTTTAAGTCTACAGTTTTTGTAACTGCTGACTTTTTTATTTTTTTTTCCGTGTGACTGGAACTCTGCTTTAACACACAGTTATTTTTAAATATGTACCAAATCTAGGCAAAAAAGTATAAACAAATTGTTATGGTAAAGTTGGCTTAAAGTATAACTAAAGGCTATACTTTCTTTTTTGTTTTGGATAGAGTGGAGATGGATTTGAACACCTATTAGGTTTTTATATTGCTGGCTGTGTTCCGGTTAGGGAGATTAACCCTCTCTATTTGTCTTGTTTACCATTATCAGTGAAAGTAAAAGGAAATATTACATTTCTCATTGTCCCCAAAAAAATAATACAGGGGAAATCTTTCAATCGGGACACTAGTTCTGGTGACCTGGGGGGCCCCAAGGTATTCCCTTAATTTGCAGGGATTTCCTCTCACTTCCTGTTTGGGCTATGGGAAATGAAGTAAAAATAAATCTCCTCAATGGGACATAGATGGCAAAAAAAAAAAATCTGCCAGGGGTTATAACCCTCCCTTGCTTTAACCGAAAAAAAAAGATTTGCTTTTAGTTCTACTTTGAAAGATACCAAAAAGACGTACACTAAACCATGCTGAAGCACAGTAGAACCTTCTGAAAAAAAGAAGTTAATCACATCAGAAGTCCCAAGAAAGAAGGAGCTTATTCCCTTATTTTAAAATAGCGTGTTAAAATTATTCCTTTAGGCAGCTAAAACCTATAGATACAACCTGGTAGTACTTGTTCCTGACAATACAATTGCAGCTGTCATGTTGCTATTGCTAATCCTGTTAGATTTTTCATTTTGCTAATTTTTTAAGCACTACAGAACACAGCAGAAGATCTTACATGGTGCCTGTGAGATGTAAAGGAATACTACAATCTGCTAATATATTCTAAACATAGCACAATATATACTGTATATTTGATTGGTTGCTATGGGTAAAGGAAGTGTTTGTTTTACTACTTTTTTTTTTTTTCTTTGCACCCCTAACAATTTATTCATAATGAATAAATAGCTGGACTAAACTTTTTTATAGAGTTGTCCTTTAAGTAAGATTTTCTCCCTTGAAATGAAATATAAATATCTAGGTGTTGATAGCTTAGTAAGTCATTTATCATAAAAATACAAGAATGTAAAAAGCCCTGACTTTATACATAGCAGTCGCACTTTTTCTTCCACTATTCAAAGGATTTAAAGGTCACCCACAATCTTTCTTTAGGGATGGAAAATGACACCAGGGCCTAGAGAAAAAAAACATAACTTTGCAAACACTTATGTTACATCGTTAAGAGCCTCTTGGGTTTTATTGGGTCTGATGTCAGGGCTAGTGAAATAATTTTTCTCCCCTGAGCATTATAGTCCGAAATGAGAAACTCTATTTTAGCAGAAAACCTTGCAGAAAGGTTAGAGTTGACTAAATGGATCACTTAGTAAGAACAGTTGACAACTAAGTCAAAATAGGTTTTCAGGTTCCTAGGCTAAAAATACCCCATTTGTCCATATTTGTATTTTTCAGATATGTGTGGTTATGTATGATAAGGTCATTATATGAATTGTTTGTTTTCCTCCTGTCATTGCTGTTAAGCTTCTGTACTGATATCTAATAATTATCTCTAGTGTTACTGAATTTAGATGTAAGGAACCTAGGAAACTTAGGCTACATTCACACACTGAGCTGAGCATTTACAATTTCTCAGTAGGGTATAGGTCAGGTGAGGAAGAGGGCCATGTCATTATTCTTTCATTTTTAAGTCCTGTACTGGCTAGCCACGCAGTGGAGTACTTTGATGCATACGATGGAGCATTGTCCTGCATAAAAATCATAGTATTCTTAAAAAATGCAGACTTTTTCCTATGCCACTTTTTGAAGAAAGTGTCTTCTAACAACTGGCAGTTGATTTTGAGTCTATATTCAACCTGAAAAGGTCCAATTAGCTCATCTTTAATAATACCAGCCCATACCAGTTCCCCATCCTCACCTTGCTGGTGTCTTGAGTCGAAGTGCAGCTCTGTGCCCGTTACTGATCCAGCCAGAGGCCCATCCATCTGGTCTGTCAAGAGTCACTCTCATCTTATCAGTCCATAAAACCTTTGAAAAATATGTCTTCAGATATTTCTTGGCCCAGTCTTGATATTTCAACTAATGTATCTTGTTCAGTGGTGGTCGGGTTTCAGCCTTCCTTACCTTGGTCATGTCTCTGAGCACTGAACACCTTGTACTTCTGGGCACTCCAGGTAGGTCACAGTTCTGGAATATGATGGCACTGAAGGATAATGGGTTCCTGGAAGCTTCACATTTGAATCTTCCCAAATTTTTTACAGTTAATTTGTGTCTTTTTCTTTCTCAACATGTTTCTTCCAACCCTGTTGACTATTTGCAACAAAGCGTTTGATGGTTCTGTGATCACGCCCCAATATCTTAGCAGCTTCAAGAGTGCTGCATTCCTCTGAAAGACTTTTTAAAATATTTGACTTTTCATAATCAGTTAAATCTCTTTTTTTTGGCCCATTTTACCTGAGGAAAAGAGGCTGCCTAATAATTATTAGCCCAAGAGAACAGCGCTGTGAGAGCGTGATACCACAATATTCACTTCCCAAGGAGGTATACCTTTATTGATGCAGAGTAATGCATTAGTAGGATTACAAATAGTATAGTCTCTGCCAGGATACTGCAGTGGACCATCTGCTCCTCGATGTACCCAAGCAGGGAAAGAAGCTTAGAAGCGGTGTATAGCTGTCCCAGCCGGGGATTGCGGCGCTTCGAATGTGACGTTATCGCGTACCTGGATGAGGGCAGAAGCTTGATCCTGGCCTTGAGACGCAAGCAGAGTTGGTAACCGTGACAAAGCATTTTGCACGCATGCACTTTGTCAAGTCTGAAGAATGTACGGTTGCAAGCTTTATTTATATGGCACACGAAGGCCGGGCCAATGATAAAAAAAAGGGAGAGGGAAAGGACGGCAGGCGGAGCGTGCAATCCCCCTGCATGGCACCTTTACAATTATAAGTGGATAATAAATAGAAAAATTCAATAAACATCAAAGACTAAAAATACCCAATGGAACCTTAATAAAGGGCATAATTAAACAATACTGTGAATCTCTAAATCTTAGTTTAATCCATTTTGGGCCATTGAGCCTAATTTGAAAATCCAAAAGGTCTCCCTTTTGCACAACAGAGAAAATCTTTCATTATCTGTCAGGGATCTTTTTTTCTACGTGTTCAATCGCCATGACCTCCAGACACCCAAAATCTTTGTTATGGGTGTGCAGGAAATGGCTGGGAACACTGTGTTTATCACAACCATCTTTGATCAACCTGCGATGTTCTCCTATACGCTTGCGTAGAGGACGCATAGTGCGACCCATGTATAATAGCTTGAAAGGACATGAAAGCACATAGATCACATAATCGGTTGCACAGGTAATAAACTGTTTTATATGGAAAAAATTGCCCTTATGATCTGTAACATCTGAACGCCCATGAGTGATCAATTGACATGTGAGACAGCCTCTTTTTTTTTACACCTAAAAATGCCAGCCCTATTATCGAAATATGAACAAATATTCATATCTCTCTTTTGGATTATAATTATGCACACCTTGATATAGAGCAGGGCTCAAAATTCCAAGTCCTGAGCTACTAGCCAGGGCTTAAGAGTTACTTGCGACCAATTGCCCTACCCAACCCCTACCCTGCCCCGCCTTTAATTCCACTTCTAAACACACACTCGTAAATTATCTCATGAAATGGCATTGTTAAATGTTTTATGTAGAATGAAGGAAGCGAGGGAAGGAAGAAAAGAAATGGAATGGAGGAGTGGAAGCAAGGAATGGAGAAAGGGAGGGAGGGGTGGAAGAGAAGGAGGGGTGGAAGGAAGGGAGGGAGTGGTGGAAAGAAGGAAGGGTGGGAGGGAGGGTGGATGGAAGGGAGGGGTGGAAAGAAGGCAGGGAGGGGTGGAAGGAAGGGAGGTAGGAAGGGAGGAGTGGAAGGAAGGAAGGGGTGGGAGGGAGAGTGGAAGGGGTGGAAGGAAGGAAGGGAGGGGTTGAAAGACGGCAGGGAGGGAGGTGTGGAAGGAGGGAAGGGGTGGGAAGGGAGGGTGAGAAGTGTGGGAAGGAAGGGAGGGAGGGGTAGAAGGAAGGTGAGGATGGAAGGAGGAGAGGAGTGGAAGAAGACAGGGAGGAAGGGGTGGAAGGAAGAGAGGGGGAGAGAGAGGTGGAAGCAAGGGAGATGTGCAAGGATGGCAGGGAGGGCGGGGTGGAAGGAAGGGAGGGAGGGGGTGAACGGAAGGAAGGGAAGGGTGAGTTCAAGGAACAAAGGAGGGGATGGAAGGGAGGGATGGAAGGAAGGAAGAGAGGGGGGAAGAATGGAAGGAAGGAAGGCAGGGATGGAAGGAAGGGTGGAAGGAAGAAAGGGAGGGGTGGAAGGAAGGGAGGGGTGAAAGGATGGAAGGGAGGGCTGGAAGGAAGGAAGAGAGGGGTGGAAGAATGGAAGGAAGGGAGGGGTGAAAGAATGGCAGGAAGGGGTGGAAAGAAGGAAGGGGTGG